GATGGAGTTAGGCTTTTCTCAGTGATGACCAGTGATAGGACAAGGGGTAATGGGTGCAAATTGGAGCATAGGAGGTTCAAGGTGAATATCCAAAAAAATTTTTTTACTGTGAGAGCGACAGAGCACTGGAACAGGTTGCCCAGAGAGGTTTTGGAGTCTCCTTCACTGGAGACATTCAAAACCCACCTGGATGAGTTCCTGTGTGATGTACTCTAGGTGACCCTGCTCTGGCAGGGGGGTTGGACTAGATGATCTCTCGAGGTCCCTTCCAGCCCCTAAGATTCTATGATTCTTTATTTTTAAACTCATTATTTTCATGTTTTATCTACTGGCATAATCCTTCTCTTTGAGAAATGTGTCAAATGAAGTAGTTTACTTAAAACATATCCCACATGAGTCTGCAGTATTGCATGTCGCAGTGTGCAACAGCTGTGGACAGTGAACAGTGTTTAGACTATGTAAATACCTATGAACAAGGAATTTCCTAGGTCATAGGTTGGAATAATCAGTAGAACAGCAGAAATTTCCCATCTGACATATCAAAGCCATTTAAACATCAAACATTGAAATAGTCTCCCAAGGGAAGTGGTAGATTCTCCCACATTGGACACTTAATTCTCAGCTTGACAGGGTGCTGAGCCATCTCATATAAACTGTAGTATTACCTAAAAAGATTGGACTAGATGATGCTTGAGGTCCCTTCCAACCTGGCATTCTATGATTCTATGATCCTCTGGTTTGCTGGAATGGCAAAATTATTAAAAGTTTTTGCATCTACTGTGGCTTTCTTATTGTTGTGCTTGGCTTAAAAAAAATAAATCAATAACTTAAAAAACTGAAATGAGGAAAAAATAGCTTTACATCCTGAGTAAAGCAGATCAGTTATAAATAAACCTCAGCAATGGGTGGCCTTAGTTCCAGATTGCAGTATAGCTTATGATTTAGGCCATTAGGCATGGTCAGAAATTAATTTATTGACTTCATAAATTAAAACCCAATGTGGGAAGATACTCTGCCAGTTTGCTCTGATTGATGTTTTTACTTTGCTCATCTAATACCTGGAAGCTAATACATTTTGCTTAATAGTGCCATGAATTTAAAAAACAAAAACAAACAAACAAAATAAAACAACAACAACAACAAACCCAACACCAAAACAGGAGAGAAAGTTTGATATCCAACTCAGTAATTTGCCTGCTATCATAAGATGCCCAGTACAGACCAAACGGGGCACATCTATTGCATGAGATAATTCTGACTCTATTGCATATCTTTTAAGCCTACAGAGTTCTAATTTGGGAAGAGGGAGCAGGGGAGATTTAATGTGCTTAAAGCTTTGCTTAAAGTGTGATTACCCTCTCATAGTTGAAGTTGAAACAGAACGGGAGAAGAGGCAATGCAGTAAGTTTAGCTAACGTGTGAAGCAAGATATCCAGAGCTGATGGGGGACTTTGAAAAGTGAGCAAAAGACTCGAGTAAACAAGTTGGGCAACACTGGGAAATGCTAGAGGTCAGACTTCACAAAAGGAAAATTGTGAGGGTCATAAAAAGCCAGTTCAAATATTTACAGTGCTTAAAGCAGATGTGTGCCTTGGTACAGGTTTTGTGGCTTGGTCTCTGAAAGTAAAAGTCTCCAGCACTGGGAAACTCTCCTGCTTCTTCCTGTCACCTGAGGTGATCCTTTAATTTCTACTGAAAGTCACTATTTTTCAGTGTGCTCTGCAGCAAAAAAGATAATCTAGCTGTGGAGATAATTGTCCATATGTATCAGTGAAATGTAGCAGATGTGAGGAGAAAATAATTAACCAAAGCAGAGCGTGAGTTCCTGTTGTCTGGATGATTTACTGAGCACAGCAGCCCTTCCAAGGCAGCTGCCTCCACAGGCAGGCACGCCTAAAGCACTGTTCTGTGCACGGCTCACCTCACCTGCTCCATGAAGCATAAATCCAACAGCAAAGCATCTTTTGCCACCCAGGAGGTTTTGAAAACCCCATATACCCTGTCTGCCTCATAGCTCTTCAAGGCTGTGAAATCCTTAAAGGGCTGTGCCATTCCCCAGGTTTGACGATGTGCTCAAGCACCTCCCACACTGTCACTGAGCAGGCTCAAATCCTAAAGTCACTGTTCAACGTGCTCCCTTCCAGCGTTTGTTTTGAATGTAAAATTCCCTGATGGAAAAAAAGGTTAGTGCAAAGTAAATCAAGCAATTTAACAATGCCTTTAAATTCAGCTTCAAAATGAAATAGCAAGTTAGGCTGCCAGTTGTGGAATTAGAAGAAATTTAATGTATCTGGAAAAACTGATTTAAAATCTCCATCTTATTGAGAGAGGACTAATAAAAGAGCACTGAAATATCACAACACTAAGAATAAAGTTATATTCAGTATACAAGGAAGCAATATTTAGGAGGAAAATATAATAGAATGTCAGAGCTTAATTTTGTAGTTGTGCATTCAGGTGACATGTAGCTGTATATATATCTCCTTGTTATTTGTCAGCAGTTTGAAGATCACCATGTTACTGACTCTCCAACATAATCTATATTTTCCAAGTAGGGCTTTTCTAGATAACACAAAGAAATTGTTATGCAGATATGTGTTGTCATGAGTTAGCAATATTAATGAACTTAAGACTGAGTTGGTGTTAGTACAGCACACAGTTAACAGAGAATTATAAGGGTACAGAGCGTGTTGGGGTGTTATGACCATTTTTTGCATTTTACATAGATATTTTTGCACCTTTGTGTTCTGTTCTTTTTACTATTTTCTGTGTAAAGAAGCTGGCATGTTTTCTGTAATGATGCAGGTGGTTTGCAGATAGTGATGCTTGGCCTTGGACACTGCAGGTGGAGTTAGCGTTTATGCATAGAGTATCTAGCCTTTAACTAAGTTTAGGAGAAACAGGAGTTTGCATTTTTGCAGTTTTACTCCTGTTGAAAATAGAGGGAAGAGCTGTTTTCTGAAATTTTATGTCTTGTCTGATGGGTAGATATACCTACATCTCAGGCATGTTTTAAAAAAACTGGAATCCAAATAATCCTATCTCCCCCTCCAGTATCACTTTCCTGACATGAGAACAGAGAAAAAGGTGTGATACAAAAAACACCCCTGCCTAGTATGGGTTGCATGTAAATATAATAGAAAGTTGATAAAATATTAACTTACTCTCACCCATGTAGGAGTAGTACTCAGTGCATTAATTGTATCTTACAATGTGGTTTAGCCTACCACAGTAACATCTTTCTTGTTAATCCATCTCTCATGGGAGACCAGAATTTAAAAAATAGTTTAGGACTGGGAAGAGGCCAAATAGTTTATGTAAGTGAACAGAAAACAAGTAGGGTGCTTGAAATGTGTACTTTAAATTGTGAAGCCATCCAATAGTTAACAGTCAAGATGTTACATGTGGGAAGAGTCTTGCAAATTATTTGTTCCTATATGCAGACTGAATATCCATAATAATAAGTATAGTCATATTTGTTTGTATGTCTTCTGTTCATTAAATCATCTGAATGACACAGCTGCTCAGGTGCTGTGCAGGTAATGTGGGATATACTGGCAAATTCATTACTGCTTTCAAGCTGTTGCACCATTCCAGGCACCCATGCCTGGGCTGGAGATGAGCAGCACCCAGTGAAGCTGGGACTGGAAAGGATGTACGTGTGCTTAGGCCACACTGCTTTACTCATACCTAGGTGAATGCACTGGCTCTGCTGAAGGAAGCTGAAGCATATTGCAAGTCTGATTTGCAGCTGGATGTTTATGGGGTTTTTACTTCACTCCAGGAGTTAGGCTGTTTTGTTAAAATGGCTTTAGTGGCCCCTTGTTTACCCTCTCATCTTCTGTCACCTGCCTTCTGCCACAAGTGACACTCAAACCCAGCAAAGCTGTGGGGTGGTTATCATCTGAGAGTGCTGCAGCTTCATAGCTAGCACTACATCTGTACAGTGAAATACTCTAGGAAAGCGGAGAGGAAACCTTTGGTTAGTTAAGGGAAGGCAGCTGTTGATCTTTCTTCTGCATTGAAACAGTTTGTGAGAAACTGGTAAAGACTGAAGGCAATGACTGTCTGTTTTGGCAGGAAGTAGATCTTGCAACCAGCTTGTCTTGCACCCTGACCACACAGTGCCATTTTCTTGGGGTGTATGAGCCAATCATATAGCTAATCCCTCTGCTGTTACAGGGATAAATCCAAATGAAACCTGTAGACCTGTAGCTAATTTGCCTTAACAGAGCTCACAGGAGAGATGGAGAGATGAAAAGGAGAAGAGTGTCACTTTATCTGTAGAGCTGAGTCAGCGTGGGGGAAGAGGGAGCAGGATGGGACTCAGCTCAGCCAGGATGAATCTGGCCCTGTGTGGAGGGAGGAAAGAGGTAACAGCTGTGCAAGGTGGCACGTCAGCTTGTTTAGAAAAGATTTAAACAGCAATGACACCTACAGTCACGTCAGCTCTTCCTGAGCCTGAAAATAGACAGAAGGGAAAAGGAAAGGAGAGAGTGTACATTTTATTTTTAAAAATGTGAAGCAAAGAACATGAATATCAGAGAGCAGAAAGTGAAGCCTGTATTTTGCCTTCGTCCTCCATTAATATCTAAAGATTCTTAAATATTAAGTCCCCTTTCACAATGTATACATTTTCAAGTCATCCTCAAAAGGCAAGTACTTCTGTGATGAGGCTAAAACAACCTACAGTGGCATAAAGCTCAGAAGAAAGCAAAAAAAACTGCAATGTGTTGAAGCTAAAATAGTTTCTGTTAGACCTTGGCCTGCTGCAAGGGTATGACAGAGTTACTGATTCTTGAGGATATGGACATTGTAAAAATGCACCACGTCACTGTGGGAGTGAAAATTCCTTAAAGGTAAAATTTATGGCATATGCATGTAGTTGTTGTTGAGACAGCTCAGACCTTTAAATGTTAGTGCTGCAAAGAACAAGTATTTTTAAGACCTTATTGTATTAGTTATATCTAATTTTCTCCTCTTCTTTTTCTTTTACACAGTGCCCACGTGTCACAAGTCAGTAGTAACATTCCTG